CATGTATCGAGGTGGATTTCACAATTTGCTCTCATTTTGAATCAGGTACCTCATGGCTGTGGTTTTGGACCTACAATTCAATTTACCGTCTGGGCTTGGGGGGGGCGAGGAGAGCAAAATTCAAGCAGTGAAATCAAGAGAAAGCAATCACATGCCAAGGTAATCAATATTTTTATCCAAAGCAGTAAATATTAATTTTTTTTTACTGTATAAATCATTTTGTTCGTTACAATTGCTTCAGTCTGGCCACAGTTGTGGAAACTGAGCCCAGCAGTGCCATGATTTAAGACATGCCTGTTAGTAACTACTCCAAGATATAAAAACTGAATTCACAGTATGAAAACTGAAGTTTCATTCACAGAAATGGAAGTGGTAAAGCGATCAAAGTTGGGTTTAGATTTTTAATTGGAAGTTTAGACAACGACAATTTTTATTCTGAATAAACGTGAGGGCTTATGTCATGCTCACTGTGAATGACAACTGTATAGAATAAATGAACAAGAGGGCAGGCATACTGAGGACCTATCTGCTTTTTCAATAAGCTGTGCCAGGACTTCACCACCTCTTTACCACCCATAGCAATTTGACAAGAAATGCTCCTTGGCCCATTGATTACCAAAACAAAGTAAGTCCTAAATAAACATACATTCTTTAGCTTATTCATTAAATTTTGTCAAAGTTGTGCAATATGAACTACACGGGTTTTGCAAAAGATGTAAACACAGTCTACCACAGTGTGTACTTTTTAGTAGTAAGATAAACAAAATTTAATTCTCAGTGTATGACTTAAAAAAACCAAACCCGAAACATACTCTGCCTTGGCAGCACTGCAGCAACTGGACTCTTGTCTATCAGAGTATAGTTATTGCGACCAATGCAGCCATCCAGGATAATCAGCTTCTTTGCAGAACAGGCGGCCATTCCATGATCACTTGTTATTATGATATTAATAGTGTCCCACAAACCTAATGCCTTCAATTTATTCATAAGGAAACCAATATGATTATCCACTTCTTCTAATACTTTGCGCATGTTCTCGGTGTCATCTGGTCCGTACTTGTGCCCACTTGCATCTGGTTCTTCCCAGTATAATGTAGCAAAACTGACTACTGGATTAGAGCTGTTCAGCCACGCAACAATTTTCTCCACTCTCTCCTCAAATGTTACCGAAAAGTTATACTTCATAAAGAAATGAGGGGTCGTATCATTAATTTTTACATCGGTACCGGGCCACATTGCAGCAGCACTTGCTCCATTTCCCTGCTGTTGATTTGTTACCCAAATTGGAACTGCCTCATTCCACCAGAAGGGATCTGAATCATTGAACTGTGAAAACTTTTTCTTGGCATCTGCATCGTACATGTCATTAGCCACGATGCCATGGCTTTCTTCATATAAACCTGTCACTATGGTATAATGGTTTGGGAAAGTCTTGGTGATAAAAGCATTCGTAACTTGTTTTACAAGCACACCATCCTCAATGAACTCCTGAAGATGAGGAAGTTTATAGGTTTCCAAGTAATCAGCCCTGAAGCCATCAAAGGACACGAGTAGTAACCTGGATACCGAATCACCAGTAGAGTGAGCACAACAGGCAACGACTCCAGAAAAAAATAATGTTAACATCGAGTTCATTGTTGATGCTTCAAAGTGTTTCCAGTAGGTAATCAGATGCACCTGAAAAATTTAACAAGATAAGGCATGTAACACAAAATAATTGTACTGGAACCAGTTTAACTAGCTACACATTAGGTACATCTTCCTTATAGAGGTTAACTGCAAAACAACCGGTCTAAACAACCACTGAAGTCAACAGTATATTTCCCTACTGACTTCAGAAGTTTTTCATATATTGTCATAGTTTTTCATATATTAAAACAAATAAGCAATGAGATTTTTTTCATTCCAGACTAAATGAAAGGAAGAATTGTTTTCTCTCTTTTAAGCAATTATTCCATCGTTCTGTGTGTCTTACTACAATTCTACGTTCCAAGACAATCAGTACTCTTCCTCATGTTCAAGCACAGGCACCTGAACAATTACGGCTCCACATTTAAGAGTCCTGTGCAGCTCTAAATCCTGCTTACACATCCCTGTTCAGACCAGAAGTTTGTTTTCTACTGTAATTATAATTTTTCTTTTTCATCCCACCTTTCCTTTTCCACAGTTCCCACCCTCTTGAGCTGCTGGAAGACTTTTGAGCCTTTCAACATTCCTATTTACTCATCGCTTACTCTATACATGGAACCGCCAGGAGTAACTTCTACTTCTGTTTTCCTTCTAAGCTGTTGTACAACTACCGTAACAGTATTTAAACCTGTTCTTTACGTATGATATTTATATCTCTCTAAAAAAAAAAAATAAAGTCATTAGTAACATTAGTTATGAGGCAACTATTTCTCACCAAGGAATTCACGACTATTATGAATGCAAGGTATGATTTGTAAGCTCCCCCAACTAATTATGTGTGACAGAAGCACTTTGTTCAGGAAGGTCCAGAATTATTCTATAAAGCCTTTAAGAAAGAGGAAGTGAAGCTCCAGATCTCGGAAGAACTTCTGCGATATTGTCAGCGTATTTACTTCTCAAGAAAAGCTCCGCTCCAGCAAATTTCTCCTTTATCTCGCTTGCACGAACTAGGGTGATTCTAGGAGGAACAGCAGGTATCTTCCTAACTGCAGTAATATCTTCTGGCCTATCTCAACCCTTTCCCCAAGGCTCTTTAAAACTGTGAGTGTATTATTTTAAAAGTGCAAGTAGCTTTAATGGTAGCTAAAGCTTTAGCAGTGAGAGGAACGCAAAGCATGGGAAATCATCCCCCCTTGCAACCAACAGTTAAAATTTCTTCAGAAGATACAAATGTTAGAAGAAAGGATCATCAAGAACAGCATTAAGGTGTCTCCTAATACAGAGGACTTGTAACACACAGCCCCTTTAAAAAGAGGGGGGGGAAAAAAAAGAAAATAAATGAGATGAGCAATGGAGCACAGAATCACCCATTTCATGTTGCCAGGTGCTTTAAAAAGCAGAACCAGAGTTTTTCATAGCGCAGTAAGAGACAAGACCACAGTATTAGCTTCGAAACGCTCCGAAGATGCTAAGCATTTGTGTTTTCACACGCTGTATCGCAGCCAACTGTAGGACGCCATCAGCCTTACAGCCACCCGCTCTTGAACCTCGCCACCTTCCAGCCAGGTTTTCAAGGCTCCAGTTGCTCAGTTCGGCAAGAAATGAGTTATCCTGGCCCTGAAAGCTCACAGCGAGACGCTGCGCTGTCATTACAAACTTAGCCGGTGTACAGGACCGGCTCCCGCAGCGCTTGCGAAAGAAACCGCCGCCGCCACCCAGCCCTTGGAGCCGGAGCACCTGCAGCGCGGAC